GTCAATGTCATCATCATCATTATCGTCGTCGTCATCATCATCATCGTCGTCGTTATTATTATTTTCATCGAGTGGTATGAAAATGAATATTTCGTGAGTGGTGGTAGCCACGAGTGAAATATGATAATTTTCATACCACAAGATGAAAATGAATCCTTTTTTATAGAAAAAAAAACTTAAATTTTCTGTTTATTATATAAATTTTTCTCTTTTTTGACATTACAATTGGAAAGATATTTCTAAATATTTCATTTATTTGTATATAATAAACTAGTATATCCAATATTTGGTTTATTCACCCTAGCCACTGAAATGAGTCATATGGGCAAGCATTCAACTCGCGTCTGCATCAAATAAATTTTGAGAGGAGAAAAAATAAATACACAAGACGTTAAAAAAACTTCGTTTTAAATTTCTTTTAATATTTATAAACGGTTAAATTAACCACTTATATTTTAAGAGAAGATACATATATATTACGTAACATTATAATTTACAACTTTTATTTAATATTTATGAAAACACATACAATGTAGTTCTTTATTGTGTTGTAACAAAGAGTCTATAGAATTTCACTCAACTCTAAGCTAAAAGTATGCTTCTGATTTGTAATTTTATATTGATAAAGAAGCGCAACCGAAAATAGAAAAATAAGCAAAGCGAGAAATGTAAAATTTACCTAAACCTATTCAATACAAATTTTGTAGCACCCTATATAAATTAACCTTAAATATTTGAAAGTGTGTTAAACGAACAATTTTTGGATTAAGTACTATTCTATCATCCAACCGGTAAAATTTATTCAAGACATTTGATTTCAAATTTGCATGTTCAGAATTTAGTGGAATTTGTAACTGCTATATTTGTGGACTTTATCCTCAAGGTATGTCCATTTTGACTTCAAAAAAAAAAAAAAAATAAATAAATAAAAAAAATAAATAAAAACAAAATAATAATAATAATGATAATATTTATAATAATAAAAAGTAAAATAAAATAAAAATAAATATACTCAACATCACTAATTCCGCGTCATCACTTATCTCAAGGTAATGGCATATTTTCATGTGACCAGTGTTAAAATTGGTCAGAATTGACTTATTTTATTCATTCACCTATATTACAAAGTTTTTGTGTAAAATATTTTAAATCTCTAGATTTTTACGTAAAACAGAACAACATTTTACAAATTTCTGCAAAAAGCAATAATAGTCCATTAAATTTTTGCGTATGTCTGAAACAATCATCATTTTCTAAATATTCTTGTATGTTAAAAAAATAAATTTTGAGTTACAAAGTAAGGATAATTTTAATATTTAAATCAGGCAAAATAACATGTTACAGTAGAAATTTTAACTGAAACATGAAAAACGTACAGGGCTTAAATGACTCTTAAAAGTGCCGCATTTTTTTTTATTCAAGCGTTAAAATTTTAACATTTTACCAAATAGGAAAATATTTTTTTTATTTATTTCTTTTTAGTGCATTGTCGTATAAAATAACACGATTTGAGTTCATATGCATAGTCATATAAAATTACATAACTCTATAGCACTGAGTGGTTAATTACAAAGCATCGGAACGCCAAACCGCGCACTAGGAAATAATAATGTAAACATATTATTTATTGGGCTGAATACTTTTTAATTTGTGCCGAGTGATAGTGTTAATAAATTAAGAATGAAGGACAGCTATAAAGACTACATGTACATGTTTTTGTTGTTGTTTTTTTTAATGCAAAGATATGTAATTTACATGTATTGTTATAAAAATGTTATTTCTATACAACATTAGCAATTTGTTCTGAGTGTCCATGTTGTTGTAGTTTTTATTTGTTTGGGTCGTCAGACCAAACAAATAATGGTAGTGAAATTTTAGACTCTGATGCTGTTAATTGCAAATGCCGAAAGTAGTCCGCTTTTTTGAAGCGGTTACTTCCCTTTATATGTACACTAACGCCGAAAAATTCAGGGGAGATCACTGCGTAAAGATGGTCAAATTACAGGCGCATTAATTTTCAAGCAAAATAGATTCCGAATGGTCGAAGATTTCTAATATTGTTTTATTCTTTATAGATATACATCCTTATAGTAAGTTCCATAACTATTTACATCTGTGTTAAACAACAGTTAGCGTCGAAAAAATAAGGGTTCCAAACTCTAATTTAGAATAATACGGTTTTCTTCAGGCCATTAACATATAACTTCACCGTGGCCGAGGCTTCGGAAACGAGAGGTCAGGAGTTCAATCCCAGTTAAGGCAACTGATTTTTTTTCAAATTGTTTAAGTCAAATAAACATTGAATTGAATATCAGTGTTGCAATTAGTCTTATAGCCATTTTACTTCAATTTTAACGCTGGAAAGCATTGGTGGCACTATACAAAAACAAATTGGTTTATAATCTCACAACCTTCACCTTTCTGACATTCTGAGACCCAAACAAATTCAGCGCCTTCTGTGCTTTGATTAAGTACATGTAATTGATATATATGGCTCGGTAAATATACAGTACTGTATGCATTTAGCACGGACTAGTCAGGTTTTGCTATAAAACTAAATATGATCCTCGGGTAAATATGATATATAAGACGCGCGTGACTGATTACTCTTGTATCATAAATGATCGGTTGATTTTTTTAACAATAAATTTTAATGAAACACTAAGGCAAACAGCTAAAAAGTGCCTACACATTCATCTTTTCAAAACATAACAGGATATTATGTCGAAATAAAGATAGACAAAGAGATGTCGTTTATTGAATACAAATATTTTAATAAGTTAAAAAAAAAGTTTACCCGTTCGACCAGTTTGAATTGGACATTAAGTTGACATACATGTGTATTAAAATTATAACTTAATTGAGCATTGGACCACATCCTGGCAAGCTGATATTTTGCAAAGATCACATACTTTATCTTTAGAAACATGCATACAATTACAGTCTGATGTCAACAAACTGGAAATCTACCAGACCGTAGCAATCTTTCGATTTTTATACGAGAGATAGTATTTAGTTATATATATGCACCTGCTGTTATGAGATACCCATGGATACCGTCTATTAGATTTAGAAAACATGATATTTTATTATTTTACATAAGTTGTTTAAAAAGGAACCGACTTCTACCAGTACCGTGGAGTTTTTGGCCGAGTGGTTAAGGTCATTGACTTCAAACCACTTGGCTTTCACCGCTGTAGCTTTTTATCCGGCTAGGGACTATGTATTACTTTTCATGTATTGAGGCTGAGGCTATCCATCTTGTATACGAAACGTCGGTGGTTTCACTCAGGTGTCCATTAATGCTTAAAATAATAAACAGAAGAGCAGGTCTTCCTCCACCAGTAAAGCTGGTAAGTCGCCGAGTATCCTATACTGTGCTGCTGTGCAACGTAAGCCCTCCCCTCTAAAACAGCAGCATTAAAGAACAAAAAAAAAACAGCAAAAAAAAAAACACAACAACAACAATAACAAAAAAATAACCACAATATTAGTTGTCAATTTTAATATGTCAAGCGAATTCTAAGAACTGCTAAATCGAGCGTGTAACTTGCTACTGTATATGACGATTTTGATATAAGTCTTTATCACATACCCGTGCAGTTTTGACTCCGTAAAAACGACATTGTGTGGCCGTGCATATATGCTTTCAAATACCTATATACTCGTATTTTGACGTGCATACAAACATTTTAAACAGTTGCCTTTAAGTGTAATATTTTGGTGCGCAACCAAAACGATTATTTTAACTGAAAAAAAGTTCTTTTTAATATCCTCTACACAATTCTTTTATATCACATGCGATTACAAAGCAAACAAGATGCCGAAAAACAGCACAATCTTCGCTTTATGGACCAGTTATATATCAAATGTGTTTAACGCTCATATAAATAATACTAATATAATTATTATATTAAAAATACATGTATAATATGTTACGTGATAAAATATATTGCTCAAGTGAATATAATTTGCATTCAATAGCTTTGATTTTTATTAATATAATGTAATATAATGTTTCCATTGGGAGAAGCCATTTTTTCATGTAATCCAATGTAATGGCTCTTATTGTAAAATATTGAAGGAGATGCTCTTGTTGAATTTATCCATGTTTAAAAATGTCATTCACTCTTAACGTTGATTTCTTTCATGAAATGGCAATTAATTTAAAAAGAAATTAAAAATTGCTAGACCTTAACATTCGTTCAAACGGTACAATAAAATGAATTAGAGAGATACGTTGGAAGCACAAATGTACGAGTATATATAATAGGTGTTAAGATGAAATTCTAAACCAAGTGGTTCACCCGTCGTATTTTAATAACCTAGATTTAAAAATGACATTGACATAAACTTATATCAAAAGTCTTAATAATGTGCATGGTTACACTCCACTTGCCCCGTTGTCATAAATCATATCAGCTTTTCAATTCCCTGCCGTTCTAACTAAACATCTTAACAACCGTTTGGATGTGAGTTCAAACTTTACAATTGAGCCGCGCCATGACAAAACCAACATAATGGGTTTGCGACCAGCATGGATCCAGACCAGCCTGCACATCCGCGCACTCTGATCAGGATCCATGCTGTTCGCTTACAAACCATATTACAAGTAAAAAAAACTGATAGCAAACAGCATGGATCCTGCGGAGGCAAAGGCTGGTCTGGATACATGCTGGTCGCAAACCCACTATGTTGGTTTTGTCATGGCGCGGCTCATTATTATGTATGCTGTAGATTTTGATTTTTAACCTTGAATCTTGCACAATCGTCTAAAGTCACAAGCTTACAAACAATCAATCAAACCGAGTTTGCAATTATGCTCTTTTTTCATCGTTTTAATGCTTCCGAGGGATCAAATATTTGTAAAATAATAGTCCTTTTTATCCATTTCAAGCGATTTCAAGAGACTGTAAGAGTAAGACTACCAAAGTATCAAGATGAAGAAACTGGTGACGTCATTCATATTTTGTATACTTTACCACTATATCACTTCACAGATGGCGGAAGGTAAGGGCCGTTCCAGTACTGGTACTTGTGCATTATTTTTTCGTCTTTCCTTTGTCATTTCGTATATTTTTTAGGGTAATATTACTGCATAAGAATCCGAATAAATGATACAGCGCTGAGTGATACAGGTCTGTAATCACCATGTAGGTAATATCTTCAAGTTTTTAACAATAACATTCGGTGGAGTTCCTTTAAACTTTAGATGTAGTGTTCCAAATTCAAAGCTAAGCTAACCAATGTAATAAATACAGCAGATAATTCAGTCATACAAATCTTTTTCTTTCCAGAAAGAGGGATTGTTATGAGTGTCTATGCATACCCAGACGACCAGAAATTGAAACATCTTGAAAAGTTCCCTGGATACGAAAATGTATCCAGTGTTTTGGCTGATGGCATATCTTTTGACGATTCAAGTCTGAGATTTGACAGTATTGATATAGACTTTGCAGCCAAAACAGGATATGCGTACGAAGAGAATTATAGGTGCACATTTGAGCCGCGTCACGACAAAACCAACATAATGGGTTTGCGACCAGCATGGATCCAGACCAGCCTGCGCATCCGCGCAGTCTTATCAGGATCCATGCTGTTCGCTTACCTACTCTAATACAAGTAGAGAAACTAATAGCGAACAGCATGGATCTTGATCAGACTTCACGGGTGCGCAGGCTGGTGTGGATCCATGCTGGTCGCAAAACCATTTTGTTGGTTTTGTCGTGACACGGCTCATTTTTCTCCTTTCTATTATATCTCAATCTTGTTTAAGTCTATTTTATATCATTGTATACATTAAGATTACACTTGGGGGCAGGGGCCGCAGGGGACATAAAAATGATGGTTCCGGTCATTTTTTTTAATAACTCAGACATGGTGTTTGAAGGTACTGGAAACTTTTGATATTTTCTGTCATTGTAATTCTTTATTGTTTGTGTGTAGGAAATGAGCAGTAGTTTTGGGTATTTACCCGAAACTAAGCATTTTGGTAGCTTTGTATATATAGTGACTATCCGAATGAAGAGGAAAACGTTAAAAATCAAGATTTGACAGTTGGCGCAAAACAAGTAAGAAATTTTGGATAAATTTTGCGAAAAATCTAAACATATGACAGACACGTTATTTGTCATTGATTGCACTGTGTTAGTGATATTTTTACAGAAATTGGGCGAATTCTGGAGTATGCTGCACCTTTATGAAGATTACCCATATTGGTATATTTTAGGTGTAAATTTTGGTAGGTGGGTCTTAATATAAATTGCTATCAGTCATTATTTTAAGGAGCAATGCATGCAAACTATTAAATTCTTCAATGTATGTCGTATATCCTTGAATAACGCTGTGCAACTGGTTATCTGCCAGTGAAACAGATTTTGAAATATTTGGAATTGTGTTTCTGGCCACACTGAAATACAAAATTGTTCATTTTTAGGTCCCATGTCCACTTAATAAAATCGTTTATTTAAAAAGGAAAACCTCTGCTAGCAATTCTTTGGAAGGTTAAATTAGCTTTAACGAAATCATATTCAGTATAAATTGAATAGGTAGAATAGTATGTATGACGACGGATAACGATATATACGCACGATACATAATATGTATTGCACGATACATAATTATCGCACGATACATAATTATCGCACGATACATAATTATCGCACGATACATAAAATGTATTACAGAAGTATTCAAAAAAAGTAGTTGTGGTAGGAGTAGTGTTTCAGAAGTGCACTGTGTGTCAGTATGTGAAAATTGGCCTGTGTGTCAAGACATTGTTTGAATAGTGTCCTGTGTGTCAGTGTGTGAGTTGTGTCCTGTGTGTTAGTGTGTGAATGTGTCCGGTGTGACAGGTCAGTGTTTGAGAAATGCCCTGTGTGTCACGGTGTGAGTTGTGTCCTGTGTGTCCGTGCTTGTGTGGCAGAACAGTGTATATGGTCAGTGTTGCCCTGTGTGTGAGTAGTGTCGTGCGTGAAGTGACCTGTGTGTAATTAGTGCCCTGTGTGTGAGTAGTGGTGTACGTGAAATTACTTGTGTGTCAGTAGTCTCGTGTGTGAGTAGTGTCGTGTCAGTAGTGTCTTGGGCGTCAGTAGTGTGATGTTAGTGAGTAGTGCCGTGTGTTTCAGTAGTGTCTTGTGTGTCAGTAGTGTCTTGTGTGTAAATTAAAGGTAAAATGTAAAATATTTTCGAGTGAACAAAGACAGTAATTAACATATTGCAAACAACACTTTCAATCCACATAAATTACGTGTTGATCCTGTTATTCAGAGAAAATGAAGTACCAAAATCTTTCACGCCCGTAAGCACCGTCTTACACCGTGTTTATTTCAACCATTAAAAACATTGGAATACTTGAGCTAAAATATAACAGCGGCATGTCTTTCTTCCAGAGCTATTCTTTTTCTGAGCGGGTACGGCAAAGCTCTGGATGTTGACAACATGGTGTTTGATGCAGTGCATTATGGGGTTTCTCTGGACTCGATTCAACTCGCAGTTGACTGGCTGTCTAAGACAGTGTATTGGTGCGATGCCACGTACAGGTGGATAGTGGCGGCGTCTGTTCATAAAGACAAAGTTAGTAAGGATTATTTCAAAGTCATCATAAATGATCATCTGGAAAAACCAGCGGGCATTGTGGTAGATCCTTTAGAAGGGTGAGCATAAAAATTATCGTTTTTTTTTGTTGCTTACGAAATTTACGTTATCCACACCAGTGTTTTTAAAGTTTGGAAAAGGATTCAAACAGTTTTGAATTGTAACAGTTTAATCTTTTTAACTATTTATCTAATTATTTTGTCAATTAGTTGATTTTAGATTTAGATCACTTCCTTTCTAAAGCGGCATACTGTTAATGTCAAATTATCTTTAATATTCCATTTTGCAGCAAAGGTCCACCTCCAGTGATCATCTTGTCTTAAATTTTGGAATTATAAACACCGCAGATATATCATATTTCTTATTGAACTACCTATTGTTGTTAACTAAAAGAAATAAAACACATTACATAATTATTAGCAGAATATATATTTTCGCCAATAAAAAGAGTAAAAAATGCACACTAATACTCGACTTAATGCATAGCATACATAAAGATAAGTAACTGAATACAGTCATTTTTACAAAAAGATATTTCTTTAAAAACAGAAGTAGCTTTTTGCGCATGCGCATTATGCAAAGGGCCATAAAGCAATATTTTATTAGAGACTCTAATGTAATATAAAGCACCATGATATTATCAATATGCAACAGCTTCATAAACCAATGACTGTCTCTGATACTTGTGTATATGTTTTGTAGGATATTTAACAACAATAGTTTTATAAATTTTACAAATGGCCGTCCGTAGCCGAGTGATTATGGTGAATTCAAACCATTTTTCATTTGAGGAAGCTGACAATCTAGCTTATGGGGAACGCCGGTGGTTCTACTCAAGGGCCTCTTCGTGTCTGAAATAATGCACGGCGGGGCATCTGAAGTTTTCCCCCCTACATTAAAGCTAAAAAATCCCCATAAATGACTCTACAGTGTTGAAGCGAGTTAAAATGCTACCAAAACCCTACCCCCACCCCGAAAAATATTTTTGTTTTCACATAAAAATACATGAACATTTGTATACTGTTTATTCGCTTGTTTGTTTTTTTCAATTATGATTATGCATTTTTTTCATATTATAGATACTTGTTTTGGTCAGATTCCGGAAAGGAAGCTAAAATTGAAAGATCCGATTTGACCGGAAGAAACCGTAAAACAATCGTGAGTAAGGGTGTAACGAGTCCAGGTCAAATGACCGTGGACATTGCAGATAAACGTATTTACTGGATACATGTTGAGGCCATACATAGCGCCAATTATGACGGCACCGGACCACGCCACATTACACGATATGGCGTATCTACTCTTCATGACTTGGCAATTTTTAGGGTTAGTTCTTTTTTAAACTAGAATCTTTTGTGATTTATTTCTCCCTATAAAGCAAAACATAAAGCATGTACAGACTCAATCAAACTGAGTCTGCAATTTTCATGCAATGTTTTTGTGGTTAATGCTTCCGAGGGACCACACTTCATCCGAGTATACGTTAGACCAACACAATATAGGTCATTTGGCTTGCGTTGTTTTTAGCTTATTGGTGGAAGAAGACAAGGTGCCCCTCTGTTCATTACTTCAGGCGTAAACGGTCGCCTAAGTAGAGCCACCGACGTTCCGTAAGCTAGATGGAAAGCTTTCTCACATGCAAAATTCAACAGGTAAAATTTTCTAAAAGCTGCAAAACCATCATCTGGAATATTTAGTCTTTTAATAAGCATATCAACAGGTGTTTGTCAAATATCTTTTATAAAACTTAAACAGTGTTTCAATTAGGAAAAACTTATAGAAACAAATAAAAATGTTACCTTTCTATCATTTCTATCTATTTATCACTTGTCAAAATATTCAGAACTGTCTTTTACTCTGTTACATGTCGTACAGGATCTTTAGAATAAATAAATATTTGAAAGACCCTGGTTAGTAACACGCAACACCCAATGGGAAATAATTAACAATATAATCTATTAAACCGATTGTTTTTATTTTCAAGGAAGTAATTTACATCAGTGATACAAATTCTGACGAACTGCTATCCGTAAACAAGACAGATGGCCTTGATGTGGCAGATCCACTGTTGTTGGACAGTTATACTATATATGGTCTGGCAGTTTACAGTGCAGAAACTCAGCCGACAAAAGACAAAGGTAAAGTATCAATGCTTGATGCTATTTTTTGCAATTGCAATCACATCGGACATACTGTGAATGTGCACGTGACAAGAATCTAAAGCGTAGCCAGCCCGCATAGCTCAATTGGTTAAGAGCACTTGAAACCTCGACATTGAGGGTTCGATTCCCGGGCTGACCAACTAAAATTAGTAAGACAGTCTTTCGGATAAGACTTTAAATCGAGGTCCAGTGTATGAGTGCGTAAAAACTTGGCAAATTAAAGAAGTATACTGAGGAATCTTTCTGTATCTATATCTTGCACTATCCTCTAAAAATCTAAAATGACTAACATTTTTCTGGAGGGTTCACCCATATAGGCAACCGATGGCGAATATGAATAAACTCAAGTACAAACACATTTTAAGCGTGTAAGTGTTGTATTTAAGAGCATTTGCTGATCATTTTGTTTGTTAAACAAGTGATGGTTTCGACTTTTAATAGTGAGCAAAATGCACAGCTTCATTGAATTACTTTGCTGCACTATAGACACTATACGAGACACTTCTTTTAATTCAATAATAACAATGATGATGATGATGATATACTAATTCTTTTAATCGATTTACAATTCTTTAGAATGAAAATACTACATGTATTTATGATATACATATGTTTAATTTAGATTATTGTGCCGAGCAAAATTGTGACCATTTGTGCATTTCAACTAAAACCGGTGCAACATGTTTATGTTCCGATGGATACACTTTAAACCAGAATACTGGAAAATGTGAAGGTACATTGTATGTTGATACAATTTGGACTTTTCTTTTATCAAAACAGAATAAAACAGAAAATGTATTAATCATTTTATACGAGTACATTAATCATTTATTTATCAATTATACTTTTAATACTTACTACTTCAATAATAGCTGCATTATATCCAATTTAAATATGAATGGGGAAAATGTCAACGTATATAAAGACATGCATATACATTTAAGACTCAGTATGAAGACAAAATATTCATTAATATCTATATTTCAACGATTATTTATAAAAACGCGCACATTTTCATTTCATTATTTGCAGAAATCTATAACAGTAAACTTTTTAACATTTTTTTTATTTCATCATTTGTGCATGCAAGTAGAATGATATTCGTCGGCAATATCTAAATCATTACACTATACACAATTTTAACATTTTTTTTTTAAATTTCATTTTATCATTTTTGCATGCAAGTAGAATGATATTCGTCGGCAATGTCTAAATCATTACACTATACACAATATATTTCTCCTGGAATAAAACAGGTACAAGTACAAGTACGAGGATTCTAATAAGATTGTTACGTGCATTTTGTTACATTTTGTCATAACATATAATATTGAAATGTTCTGAAATCATTCATACGCATTGCATTTGCAAACATTGTTGATAAAGAACATTGATGATGTTGATGGTGATGTTGGTGTTATTAATTGAATCATTTTAATAACTTAAGTAAAAGATTAACCCATCCAAACGGGAAAATACTTCTTTTAAATGTAATTACACAGTTTACAACAAAATAACATTGTGTTTGTTTTTTATTTCTTCATCTGAAGAAGCTTTATTAATCGAAACATGTACATGTATTCATAAACTGTTGATTTGTGAATCTTTTATATCTTTATTCTTCAGAAACTAACGTAGGGTTACATAAAGCGCTAGTGTTTGCAAGTGCAACCCATATTTGTTATATAGACATTCGATCGCTGGCTGCATTCTATTTCGAGCCAGTTTGCATCTTCACCGTCGTGACAGCCAGCAATGTAAGTTCAGTAGATAAGAAATTTAATCAAACATTAAATTATTAAAATTTTATGGCAATATGTTGAAATTTGAATGATTTGCATTCGAATACATTTTACGAAATGTTTGCTTTGGTTTCTTTTCTGCACGTGATGCACTTTGCATCTATACTTTATAGACTTTAGTTCATGAAAGTATATGTGTGTCTACTTATATGAAAGATAACTGCACTTGCGTTATGTAATAAAAGAAAGTAATAATTATAAATTTATTTTTTTCTATACAAATACTCGTACATGTATTGCATGAAACTATCAAGAAAACATTTTTTACTTTGTCCATGTATGATATTATGAGGGTATTATACTTTGTTCAGTACAATACTGAATTCTATTGGAGGAGTACACAATTGTTAAACCTATATTGGAAGATGTGTTAGACGAGTGCAGCTGTGTATGAGGCCAATATAATCGTTATTGTTCTCAACAACAATATATATTACCCTCTTTATTTCACATCACAATTTATGACAGTTTGACAAAACTTTGTTACTTTAAGTACAATAAGGATTTGATATGGATTTTTGGAAGATGCGTTGACCGAGTCTGATATTGGTTTTGCAGCTGTATTTGAGTCTAACAGAATCATTATTGTTTTCAACAATATAATTTGAATAACCGATTTCACATCACAATTTTTGTTACTTTAACTACAATAAGGATTAAGTATGGACTTTTTGGACTCTGAAAATGAAAACGAGGCTAGTTGGAGTACAATGTATGATATGCATTTGATATAGATGTTTTGGACTCTGAAAATGAAAACATAGATAGCTGGGATGTGATAGCATATGATATATTAATTCTTTGGTCTCTGGAAAATGAAAGCGAAACTAAATTCATTAGATTGGATCCAATAAGCATTCATAATAGAACATCACGTGGTGCAGACGCTAAAAGTCCATTTGTTATATTTGATAACATGTAAGATAAAGATAAATATAACACAATGTAACACCTATTTTTCCTTTCGTTAGAATTATAAACCTGACTGTTTTTTTGTTAACAGGAAAAGAGGAAGAAACGTCAAGATCCTACACTTGAGCCAGGTATTTAAGTCGTATTTATATTCTAGAATATAAAATAGATATAAAAAATCGATGCAAAATCATTACCATGTCCCCAATAAATGAATAATACTGTCTAAAACAAAGCCATACCTTCACCACACCGGCTCTTTGGTGTTTTGAATCAAACATAACTATTCGTCATTTTTAGGAAATAGTTCCAAAAATACTTTGTACCGGCTGAATAGCGAACATTGCAGCCATGATCACGGATGTACAGACAAAGATCTGCACTGGTCGCATGAATAAATTTGATTTAGTTGCCGCCAACAGGTTAAGGTTGATGACGTAGCTTGTTGTACTATGTTTATGCTTCATATAAAATGAACAGTTCTTCACTGATTGTTTGTTTTGTTTGGCTTTACGGCACGCCATAGCATTTAAGATCATATGGCGCCCAAACAGGAAAGATGATTTTGGCTAACATGTGGTGTTACAAACACCAGGTGTAAAACTATCTCACCTGCTATAGTTAAGAGATGCATACAGTAGACTCCGATATGGTCGCCTCTTATGGTCATGTGGGATAAAGTATGGCTGCAAGTATGATGCCCAAACCTTAAAAGGCAGCCCCTCAGCCAGATTGGGTCACTCTTCACTGAATAAACCTCTACCAATCTATAAAAGAAATCAACATTTCGTTGCATTTTTTAGTTTTTATTTGAACAAAAATATCATATACAATGTATATGATTTCATATGTATATTTAAATGTTACTTATGTTTATGATACGCAAACAATTTTACATCATATTGTGTCATATGTATGGCCCATTATGCCTCAGAAATGCTTTTATTCTTATTTCTTAAAAGCTTTTATTTTTGCTGTACTTATAGTACACAAAAACTTACTCATTGGCAAATTACCTCGACCATCTTTTTCAATTGTTACTTTCTTGGCAATAAGTACAGTTAAAGTGAATTAGTATTTTGTATGGAAGTCAAAATACTGCTTTGTTTACATGTTGCTACTTTCATGACAAATTATTTCACGTTTATCGCTACTTTGTTCAGGTAACAAGCATTTAACATTCTCTAAAACCATTCTTCAAACATGGTCCAATTCATGTATGCCATTTCTTAAGAAGTAAAAAATGTATATGTGCCTTTAAAGATATTATATTGTTCATAGAATATCATTTTGTAAGGGTAGAATACTTTTTTACAGCTTCACCGGGGGACAAGATCAAATTGTTTGATTTAGATATGAAACAAACCATTGCCTATTATGTTAATATGGACAACAAAATATATGCAAGACAACTTCTTCTGCCGATTGAAAACGAGGCTAAAGAACTCATAACGTCAGCAGGCGGGACAATTAGTGGTAACTATCATTTCTTTTATAGCAGAACTGCTTTTATTATGGTTAGGTTTTACGTCGAGCGAAGATAGTAGATAGAGGTCATAGGGTGACTGTCCAGCTTTACTGGTGGAGGAAGACGACAACGGAAGCCTCTGATGTTCCGTAAGCTAGCTGGATAACTTCCTCACATGAAATAATCAAACGTCTTTGGCGCGAGACAAACCCACAGCGGTGAGGGGCAAGTGGTTGGAACTCAAGGACTTTAAGAATTTGGCCACGGAAGCCCGTGGGTACATATACTTATCATATATTACGACTCTTTTTCATGTCAAAGAATTATTACTGCTTATTAATCGCAACTTGCATCTGCTGATATGGTAATGTTTGGAAAAACAATCATTACAATTAAAATTGTTGGTTTATCTGGAATTCAACACAACCGTTACAAAATGTAGTAACCAATACACTTTTCCCAATTAAACGTTACCATTATTACATATTGTACTGTACCCGTTTCTTTCTGTTTGCCCAGGTATTGCATACGATGCAGTAGATGCTGGTAATCTATATTGGTGTGAAAGTGATACTGGAAACATCTTTATGATCAACGTGAACGATAAAATAGTTACAAAAGTCAACACAGACGGTGTTACCCTGGTTAAACCGAGGAACATTCTAGTACTGCAAGCCCAAAGGTACACTACTGTTATATATGCATCTTTAAATTACCTAGTCATTTTGATTTCAGTTAACGATGACAATTTTCATATCTTTCTACTAAAAGATAAAGAAAGGGACGTGAATAAATAGATAATTAAAATATGTCATTCATTGTTTATTGACCCATTGATACCATTATTCGAAATAGTTTTTTTCCCGGTTTCCTTTGTTGTTTTTTTTTTCCTTACGGCGACTTCAAAAATATTTTGGTCGTATCTCGATGGGCGGTTCACCTACTGCATTTTCTGGAAAAACTAACCAGTTACTACCGTTTGTTCCATAACAGACCGGCTACTAATCCTACATACATGTATTATTTTTGAATCAGGTGTGAACGACAAAAGACCTTACACCCAATGTCAGGGGCAGATTTGCGCCTCGCCCGGGATTCAAATGAGCATCATTTAGTTGATAAATCCAATTCTCTTCATATTGAGATAAGAAAAGCATATCTATGTATATTGAGATAAGAAAAGCATATCTATGTTTATTGAGATAAGAAAAGCATATCTATGTATATTGAGATAAGAAAAGCATATCTATGTATATGTTAGTGTTCATCCATTCTGTTCTAAGGAAATTAGAAACTTCGAGGGGAGCCATGTTGAATACTAACGTACTTTGTGTCTTGATTAATATTCACTTTATAACGTAAAAACTATTTTAACGAACGCGGTTCTTTGAAGCGCTACAACAAATAGAAGGCGACCTTGAATGAACCGACATTTATTCTTTTATGAAAATTAACACATATAAATTTTAAGAAATACAGTATTTTCATTGGATGACAAATAAAGCTGGACACTTTAATGCATGTTCCTAGAATTTACTTATTTCGATATTTATATATTTTGTCATTGTTTCTGCAATATTTAAACCACCAGAAAGTTGGCATGGGTAGCAGGTGAGGATGGAGCAATGTCTATTCAAACAATGAATATGGATGGCACTCAGCTGTTTGATGTAGTCAGCGGTTTTATTGACATAGGCGCACTTACAATTGACCAAGAAAATCAAGTGTAAGTTTATTTATATTACACTGGTCCTTATTTTTGGTCAATAATTTACTTTCAGTGTTGACATCAGAATGCTAGTTAAGACATTGCTAAGAGGAATTATATATATGACATTGTACACTGTCTTTCATTTTCAGATATAACTGATCCTATACAGCGATTTGCATATAAAGATTGATATGTTGCTCTCAAAGGGTGTCTCATTTAAAGAATTAACAATCAATGAAGTTATTTTTGTCCAAACTTACACTATGTAGTTGCAGTTTGATTTTGTTACACTTTCAGACACTCTATTACTTGAATTAAGTGATTCCCACAAATCACAAACATACATTTGTAAAGTGCTATACCATTTGTTGACTTGAATAAATTATTCTTTGGCTTGTCTTGGACAGGTGTGAACGTAAGCTGTCCTTATACTTTGTTTTACATCGAGGTAATGTAACTGTTATTTTACAAAATGCCCGTGATTCTATATTGATCCAATTGAGCCTTAGGTGTAAGCAATTATGGATACCATGTGATGTCAGTATGCTCATTACAGAGTGAAAACTATGCTAAATGCTCTTGAAATAATTGCTACAATAATTATGTGAACATTAAAAGTTGACAAATATAACGAATAGTTATATAGAATATATCAAATAGTTAGAAGAAGACATATTAAGTTTACTGTCCTTACAATTTATAGTTAAGGCTAGAGCTATGGTAGAACATAATGTTTGGCAGTTTATTTTTGATTTTTAAAAAAGAACGCAAGACTTGTCAGCACCATGGATTTTGAAAAAGGCTGAAAACAAAAATGCAACGTCAAACGAACACATGGAATATAAAGTTACGAAAATGTAGAAAAGCACTGACAGATTCTGAAATAAATAATATAATTGAATTAGTAAAACCACATGCTTAGAATACTATAAATAGCATCCAATGATAAAGAAATAAAGTCAATGACATGTCTGAGGTTTTCTTTGGTAATAACACTGTTTTGATGGAACGCTTTGATAAAGTTCTGTCGCGAATCTTTAACGAAATTGAATTTTGATTAAAGGGTCATGTCTATGAAGTGCATTGGTCTATAATGAAAGTTCCGTAATACAATATATAATTATGTTAATCGTATTTAGGATCAAACATAACAATAAACCATAGACGAATTATACATGGACGTTGTTGGCAAGTATGAGATGAACATCCGATGTTACATATAATTATACGTATAGCAGATAATAAATAAGCCGCGTCACGACAAAACCAACATAGTGGGTTTGCGACCAGCATGGATCCAGACCAGCCTGCGCATCCGCGCAGTCTGATCAGGATCCATGCTGTTCGCTATCAGTTTCCTCTACTTGTAATAGGGTTTGTAAGCGAACAGCATGTATCCTGATCAGACTGCGCGGATGCGCAGGCTGGTCTGGATCCATGCTGGTCGCAAACCCACTATGTTGGTTTTGTCATGACACGGCTCAAATGGTTCTGGAACAAAAGTTTTATTATTTGTTTTACATATGGTCATACTTAATCACTTAATAATGTACCAACATTTAAAGTCATATTTTACAAGAGTATCCAAATGATTTATTTGTATTGTGTTAACCAATATTTAAAGATCCTGTATGTTGTGTTAAAGTTGTAAAATTAATTGTAAACTTTGACGTAAACTTTATAGAAAATAAAATGTTTTATTACCTCCCTTTATTTACATGAAATGTTAAATTCGGTAATATCTTTATAAATAATGCTTTTTGGAACCTACAATATTGATAAAACTTAATTTGAGCATCATATTTATGATTTAAAACCATAAAATATTGTGGTACATGATCTTTAAAACATTTCTGGCAAATGTGCCCATTGCAGAACAATCCACTTTCAGCCTATTATTAAGTCAATTATTTATATCTTTACCTACGTTGACCTTCTACTTTTGCAGTTTCTACTTTTTGGCACCAAGCAGAGGGTCAGTGTATAGCGTCCCTTTCAACGGGTCAGAAACTCTTGAAAGATACTTTGTTAGTCTAGAAGACAGTGCAAATCTAATTCTTCATTATAATGTAAGTGCTTAATATTAATATGTTATAATACTTCTTATATGCTTGTATATTTATTAATTTGTTTGTTAAATGAAAATTGTATAAATGATATTTAATATTTAAAAGGTGCATTTGTCAAATGAATAAAATTATGTTTGTTTTATGGGGTAATTTTTGTTATATTACCGAATTGTGCTTAGCCCAATGTAAAAAGTGTTGCTGCTAGGCGATGTTGTTTTTTTTTATACAGGTTTTTTTCTCAGAGTGACAGGGGTCTCTTGTTCGATACTTAGACGAGGCGAAATTTCTTCGTGATAAATAATATCGCACAGAGAGTCTATATTAGCGAATTTCACGAATTGATGAAAATCGCTAAAATTTCCTCAAGCGTAAATATCAAGCAACCTGTCATTGCACGATTCGCGCGGTAATTTCTGAAATGTTTAATTCGCTACTTTTCGACACTAGGAAATATCCACTTATACAGTAATACACTTCCCGACAATTCAAATACGACGTATATACCTTTTTTGTGTTTAGAAATATATATCATGGGTGTACACTGACCCAGGGTATCAAATGCTATTGGATCGTACAACTACGAGGAAAGACAACTTATTGGAACATGGCTTTTTTGATACAGAAAACCACGAAATCATAGACATAAAAGTGCTTGACGAGAAATTGCAAAACGCCTGAACGAAAACAAGGTAAGTGGTTAGAGGCTGTTAACCAAAAAACAGCAAATAAACAACAATTATAATAATAACAGTCAGTGTATCAGGTCCAAGAATTTAAAATGTTGCATGATTTCTATTGATAATGTTCTGAGTGGCGCTGGTCTATTGCTTATTTTTATGCCCCACAATGTGGAGAGAAGCATATAGCGTTGCACTTGTCCGTCCGTCCGTCAATCCGTCAGTCAGTCAGTCAGTCCGTCCGTCCGTACGTCCCGAAATCTTGTGAACGCAACTCCTCTTAAACCGGATAGCAGATTTTGCTTAAACTTACAGGGATGATCAACCTTAATGTGTAGATGGTAGTAAATGAAGGAATTTCGCCTGCGACCAAATTTTAACAGAATTATGGCCCTTTGTTGATTTTTTTACTAGGATACTATGTAGAAATTTTGTGAACGCAACTCCTCTTAAACCGGATGGCAGATTTTGCTTAAACTTACAGGGATAAACAACCTTAATGTGTAGATGGTAGTAAAGGAAGGAATTTTTGCTGCGACCAAATTTAACAGAATTATGGCCCTTTGTTGATTTTTTGACTATATACTATGTGGAAATTTTGTGAACGCAACTCCTCTTAAACCGGATGGCAGATTTTGCTTAAAACTTACAGGATGAACAACCTTAAAGTGTAGATGGTAGTAAAGGAAGGAATTTTTGCTGCGACCAAATTAAACAGAGAATTATGGCCCTTTGTTGATTTTTCACTATATACTATGTAGAAATTTTGTGAATGCAACTCCTCTTAAACCGGATGGCAGATTTTGCTTAAACTTCCAGGGATGAACAACATTAATGTGTAGATGGCAGTAAAGGAAGGAATTTTTGCTGCAACCAAATTTAACAGAATTATGGCCCTTTGTTGATTTTCTCATTATATACTATGTTAGAAATTTTGTGAACGCAACTCCTCTTAAACCGGATGGCAGATTTTGCTTAAACTTCCAGGGATTAACAACCTTAATGTGTAGATGGTAGTAAAGGAAGGAATTTTTGCTGCAAACCAAATTTAACAGAATTATGGCCCTTTGTTGATTTTTTAGATTTCAACTTGTGGCACATGTAGTCCAAAAAAATATTTGACTTAGAGTCTTAAGATTGACAGAAACAGTTTGGGTGTGTGGGGGCATCCGTGGTCCTATGGACACATTTCTAGTTTTATCAGCGTTAATGACCTGTTGTAGTGATTACGATCTATTTTAAGTACATTTGTCGTTGCAAATGAAATTGACAAAGCTAGATAGTGATCGTAAGTCAAAATAAAGGGTTAAAAGTTGGTGGGCGTTATGAAGTTGTATGGCGGTTGTAACAAGTCGCCCATACGTTATCAATTGTAGTTGTTGTATTTAGTACTATTAAAAACTACTTGAAAATGGTTTAGGAAAATACCAACTTAAAACACTTAAAAACCTTAATAACTTAAACACACTTAATAAAAAAACCCCAAAAAACGCATTTATGTCTTCCAAAAATGCATACTTGACGCTTTTTGAAAGTCGAGTTACATATAAGATTTGTGAATATAGTTTTAACAAGTGTAATATTATGATGTAATGCTATTTTTTATTGTTTTATACTGAAAATTAAAGAGTTTAAGTTTAATTCTGTAAAAAGAAGCATGTGAGAGGTCGTTTTGCAGCTGTGGAAGATTTGTTTATTATTTTTAAATGGCGGGAAAGTAAGAATTTCTGATGGGTCGAATTGCATCTGCGAACAATATCAATGCATCGGCTATTTCCGCCTGTCTCCAGATAAGCTGTAATTAGTAATAATCGGCGATGAGTTCTTAAGTTGAAGGAGCAGCAAATAATTCGGTATATGGTTAACTCGGTAATATTGTTTGGTGATATTGTAGCTATGGTGTTTGTTGTTGAACATTATGCAGAAAATAATTATTAATTTTTACGGTTTAATAAAAGGATTAAAAATGGAATGAACCCAGTGTTTGTAGTGTTTAATATATTTCCGATTTTTCCTTTTACAGATCGATATTTTTTTCCGTTTAAATCAAGTCGTATTTTGAAGCGGACATGCGCATAACAGTTTTTGTAGACTGGTTCGTAGGTAGTCTATGCTCAATGAGAGTCCATCCGCCGTTTCAGGGACACCAAATCTAATGATTTTAGGCTTTAAAAGAGAGGTCTGATGATGTCTTCTATTACTGATCTTTATGGATTCAGTTTATTATTTACTATTTCAACAGGTCCCTGTTTGCGTCAAAATGGCGGGTGTTCACAAGTATGTATTACTAAATACGAAAACGACGCAATGACAAAAGTTTGTGAATGCCAACTTGGGTATAAACTAGACACTGACCAGAAAAGTTGCAAAACAGGTTTGTACATACCTATTTACACAATTTTATATTATAAAGAAAATGCTAGTATGCTTACAGTGGTCCTGCGATGTTTTAAGAATGATATTTCACATGGGGTTATTTCGAAATGAATATCACCCGCTTATTATTTTTTCCCAGGGGCGAGTATCCTTTATAGACTTAGGGAAAACGTAATGATCTAGTTCTCTCCCCTGGCTGCAATTACTGATGAAATTTCAAAATAAACTGCCCGTGTCTGGAGCGATGACCAGGAGGATGTGTTAAACGAACGAAATAAAGCATAATGAATTTAGTCAACTTTTAAAGACGAAGGAAAAACCCTCAATTAAGATTACCATCGGGACGGGACCAAAGTGGTCTTAATTGCGGGGTGGTCATAATTGTGAATATTCTTATCATTGCTTACACACTTTTTGACCATGATCTATTTTACTCATTTTATATGAACAAACAATATGTATCTTAACCTACAAATACAATATTAAAGTATGTTATAATTTAACGTCTGATGGGAGGTGTACGGACATAATCCCCTTCGGACAAAATCCCCTTCATGTATTTTTGTATATCCGGACATAATCCCCTTCATGGGTGGACATAATCCCCTTCATGTGTAAAATTTTGAAGTGGACAAAATCCCCTTCATAAAATTGCTACCTAGGACAAAATCCCCCTCAGAGGAATTTTCGTTTTTTTAAGTGGGTATGAGAGCCACATACTGCATTATGCTGTGTAGTAAATATCTTAATGTATAAATGAGTAGAAAATATTTCAGCAGAAAAGCACATTCAATTAGCAACATTTAAATCACATTAAAATTGCTTTGTTAAAGCATTCATAACAATCAATCAAGTAGTGCAGTGATATTGGTTTGATTAAATTATCACTCTTTCATCAATAGAAATTGTAACAATGGATAGTATCTATCAATTAGAATTATCAACTTATACAATCAATGAAACAATTATTGGCTAATAAAAATGTTTTTCATACTAATCAATTTAAAACTATTAAAGAAATTGCCTAATCAAATATGTGTTATGCAGTTGATAATTTACCATAATTTTAATGAAAACTTCTAAACTAAATAAAGGTAACTATTGATACATAATTATAAATAAAAAAAACAAAAGTTCATTATTCATCAATTTTTAGGGAGTATAATAATACATTATTCATCAATTTTTATGGAGCATAATAATACATTAGAAACCTATGAAACAAGGGGATTTTGTCCGGGTAGTGAAGGGGATTTTGTCCAGCCTTACAAAAAAATGAAGGGGATTATGTCCACCCATGAAGGGGATTTTGTCCGGGTAGGTGAAGGGGATTTTGTCCGAAGGGGATTATGTCTGACATTCCTGATGGGAAGAAAGAAATTTATTATCAAATTCTATTTGGTCTGATTTCAATATTAATTATTATATAATGTACATAATTCACCCATCAAATAAGAAATTAATTCTTCGCATAATCAATAAGCTTAAAGCAAAATTCAACCACTCTAAAATTTACTTTCTCAACTTATTTCACACAATATCCCAATCATATAAGGTGTTTTGATACCTTGTGAAATTAAGTGTTATCCCTTAAAGCATTCAAGCAGATAGTAAGAACATTACAACAAATTTAAGATCTAGGTAGGTGTTGAATTTAAATCAGTGGTCTCAAATAAAGAACAAAACAAAAATTTGGACTGAATCGGGTGGTCTTAAAAGTGGATAAGCGAGGTGGTCTTATATCTGGATCATGCAACCATTGACGGGGCGATCTTAATTCCGGGATGGTGTTAAGAAGGAATCCTATTGTATTGAAATATTAAATTATGAAGTCAGCCCACAAAGCAGATTAATTGAGCCCAAGCTGAAGGTAGGTAGTCTATGGCTAATGAGGGTCCATAAGTCCTTTCTGGCACTGAGATTACGTACCCCATAATTGAGCCAAACGATTTGCTATCCGTTGTTATTTCAGAGGTGGTCAGAGATAACTTTTTACTGGTAGCCGATTGGACGGTGGACCTTATATTTCAAATCGATTTGCTGACAAACGAAATCAACGCTATACCTTTAGGCGACTCCGGATATTTGATGGGTGTACTGTATGACGCCGAGAACAATAAGCTGATTTGGTCCGAATTCTTTGACGGCCAAGTGTATTCAATGAATGAAGACGGAACTGACAGAAAAGTTGTGTCAGATATAGGTACATATGCATATATGTTAATAAAAAGATTGTAATTGCTATATCATTAGTTCGTTGCAATTGTGCAAAATATAAGAACATATCGTATTATGGATTAAAGGTAAACGATTATATGAATATATATGTTTGAAAAGGAAAATCAAATTGATATGGAAAAATGGGTATTGTTTTGAATATGGTAAACTATGGTCTGAAGTACTAAGTGTTTTAGTCACTTTAAAGGTTTTCTTATAAATCTAATTAATACATTGATGTTTGTATTTCAACATTGTTTCTCTCCATAGAGACAATATGTCCATTTTCTGATGGCTTTTTGGTATCTAAGGAAATGTAAAAAGGTGGATTGGAAACAAATAAACAGATGAAAGCCCCGTCAAAATGTTCTTTTTAAATTGAAGAATTGAGATGATTATCATTAAATTCCAGGATTTTCTTACGCCTATCGTTTTGCTAAGGATACTGTTACTGGTAACCTGTACTACACGGCCTTCAGTTCAGCACATATTGGTGTAATAACACCATCTGGGGAGAATATTTGGTTGATTGACGATTTCTTCTGGGAGGATCTCCAAGCCATAGCTGTCCACCCACAAAAGGGGTAAATTAAATGCATTTTTTATGTTTCTTAAAATATAGTTAATATAATTAAAATTTATTTATGAAACATGGAACACGTTATGTCAGCCATGAACATATGATATTAAACAGATTTTCAAGTATAGACGGCAACACATTGAACATTTTTTTAAACACAAATACATGTACAAGCATAAAATAATGGACGGCACGATAGAAATATAGGGTAGAAATGGTAGGTACGATTTTTCATTATGGACAACACATGAGTAGATTATCAGAGATGTTCGCATGGACGGCACTAAATGGAACCTTCAGTACGTGATCGACTGCATACAGGGAATATAACATTTTGTCATATAATGCACAAAAAAGAAAAAAATAAGAAAATCAAATCATAAAACATCATCAGTAAAAACGACAAACATAATCTGAAAATATCGGAATGTATTATATAATGTATTTAGATAGTAGCTCGGAGAATTATATAGCTACGCTATCTTATCTTGAAATTATATTTAGCATATTTAAATATAAGAAAACGTATTTATGATTTTCTGTATACTTTCTTTTACAGATGGTTGTATTTTTCGGCCATCGATTCTGATTCGTACATTGCAAGGGCTAATATGGACGGTAGTAATGTAGAGAAAATAATAATAGGCGAACACGTGCAATATCCTGCTGGACTTGCTATTGACTACCAGAGTAAGTCAGTTTTAATACACTAGCCGTAGTTTATCTCTTTATGCTTCCATAGGGTGAGCATGTAGTCGTCGCTTTGTCCGTCCGTCCGGTTGTCCGTCGTCCGCTTTTCTTGTCCGGGACATAACTCTATAGCAACATAAGGTATCAACATGAAACTTTAAAGGTAGATAGATCTCATTGGGTAGATGTGCAGTGCCAAAGACCCATTACTCTTCCTTGCCTAATTTTGGAGTTATTGCCCTTTGTTAATTTTTGTACTTTGAACGTTGTCCGGGACATAACTTAAAAACTATCATGTGAGATATCAATATAAAACTTTGTAGGTAGAAAGATCTCATAAAGTAGAAGTGCATTTTAAAAAAAAAAACATAGCTCTGCATTGCCTTATTTTGGAGTTATTGTCCTTTGTCCATTTTAACACTTTGAACATTGTCCAGGACATAGTTCTGAAAGTAAAATAGATATGAACAAGACACTCATTGGGTAGATGTGCAGTGCGCAAGAACTGTAACTCTGCCTTGCCTTATTTTGAGGTTATTGCATTTTGTTCAAATTTGCATTTTGACACTATAAGAAATATGAACAAGAATCTTTGTAGGTAAATAGGTATCATTGGGTAGATGAGCAGTTCAAAGAACAACTCTGTCTTGCCTAAGTTTGGAATTATTGCATTTTGAACTTTGTCCGGGACAGAACTCTGAAACAACAAGAGGTCCAAAACCTATTCGGGGAGCATCACACGGTTCAACCGGTTCTTTTGTTTTCAAATATTCATAAAGATTTTATATTGTTATTCTGTTACTTAATTGCATTAAAATGAAGACGATATTGAACAAATTTGCCAGTGGTATATACTCGCAAGATGCTAACGCCAGAAGTGATAATTAGTCTGACATAGAAATAAATAATTATTTAATCATGATAAAGATTTCAAAAGTTGAAATTATGCAATAATCAGTACAGACGCTTATCAAAAAATATTTACAAAAAAAACAACAGGGAAGTCAAAGTTCGACCGGTTTCTTTGTTTCACAAAGCATTTTAAATTAAATGATACTGATGTATTTTTAAACACCTAATATATTTACACCTTGCTCATGTGTCACGATAAAACGCAGCATCTACCTTTTTCAAACACAATGATGTATAATGATTCATTCAAAACCTTAAGTGGTCGTACAATGTTGACAACTTTGGTACTGAGGAAAACAGTCTTGTGTTGGGAAAAGCTACACGCATATCTGAGACACCCACTATTGTAGTGGAAGCAAAGAACAAAAACCAAAAAAAACATAAAAAGCAATTGATATATAGCATAATGGGATATTAATCATACTGCTTGCATATTTTTGAAATAATTCCAAATTTTGTCACAAATTTCCAGATGACTACCTGTACTGGTGTGACTCCAGTCTTGATACAGTTCAGCGATGTAATCTAGATGGCGAAGAATGTGAAACAATTGTTAACAATAGTAAGATTGGAGATGAAATTAACGACATTGTACTGGATGATAAATACTTGTATTATGCAGCAAACAAAAAATCGTACGAATTCACCTTTTTCACTCTTTCTCTTAACGACATAAAAGGCGCATTATGCCCCAGGAAAGGTTGAATTTTTTATTTATCAAATACTTTCTATTTAAGGTTTCAAAAAAGTTACTCATCGACGAATTACCTGAACCATCTTTTGCTTCTGATACTTTTAGTAATAAGTACAGTAACAATAGTTTGGTATTTTGTATAGTCAAAATACTACTTTCTTTACATTTTGCTGCTTGAATTACTATTATTTTCACATTCAGCAATACTTTCGTCAGGTGATGAGCATCGAAACATGCTCTAAAACCATTATTTCAACGTTACAAAACTCGTGTATGTCATTTTCAATGAAAGAAAAGAAATCGTGTCTGAGACATAATGTGCCTTTTAAAATATGTAGTGATAGTAATATGCCTTTTAAAAAATGTAATGATAGTAGCTTTATTAAAAAAAATGATAAAAGATAGAAGAAATTACTACTGATTTTACTGCTACTATAGCTTTGTTGCCGTGCTTAAAAGGAGTTTCATTAACCCTTACTACGTTAAATAAATTAAATGGACTTGTCCATCTTTCAATCTTGACAAAGTCATGCTTATAGTTTAATGAAAATTTAAAAAAATATCATATGGCGGCGTGATTGAGTGGTTAACGCGTCGGACTAGTAATCTAAGGATTGGCAAGCCGTTGTTTTCTTGAGCAAGACACTTTACATTTAATACTTCTTGGTTCCAGGAACGCTTTCGAGAGTGTTATAGCTAATGACACAATCAATCGAACTAAATTAAGTTGTATAAACTAAAATTTCAAAATATTACTGACTGGGTAGCGAACAATGCAGTAAACTAGTGGCATTGGTTGAATGTTTTGGACGCCTTCATCCACTGACATCATCTATAATTTTGTCTATGAGATTGCTTATTCGTATAAAGACACTACCAATCATGCCTAAAACTCGAAACATATTCTATTTTTATTGTTTAGAATAAATAAAAAATATATATGATTACGATTCTGGAGTTTGTTGGCATAATTCAGGTTTATTGTGTGAGTGTTTTTTTTCAATATTTTAGGCACGTGGTACAGGTTAGTCTAACAGCACCTTATACCAAAACGGAAGTTGGTTACAATATAGGTCTTGGAAAAGTAGATACCCTCAGTTTGTATAAAAGTAACAACCAGAATAAACAAAAAGGTAGATTCAATAACATATTTATAGCTTTGTTTTTTGGTTTATGCAAAGTTGAAAAATGTGACCGGCATTTGAACGCGTAAAGGACCCTAAATGTCTGTGTCGTCAATATATGTCGCAACGACTCTAATTGTCGCACTTGCCGCTAAATGCCGCACTCTTGCCCCTAAATGTCGCAACCGCCGCTAAATGTCTCAAAATATTTTGCCACTAAATGACACTATGATGACGTTAAATGTTGCACCCTTTTCTCTTGCTGTTAAATGTCACAACACTACCGTTAAATGTCGCAATATATAAAGGCATGTAAAACAACTGGTATTATGTCAATATTAACGTTATGTAAGTGACCTGGAGACAAGTTATCTATCTGATAGGGAAGGATTTGCTGTGATGTAGAAAAAAAATAGTTTGAATTTGAAGTCATTAGTCGGTATTATTAAATGGACACCACAATTTATGCCAAAGAGCCCCTAGGGGATGAATACATGTGTATACGTTTTTCACACCGAACTATTTATTCCAGGTCAATTAAAATTCAATCTCAGACCAGAATATTTAAATATTCTGTCGACCTTTCACCTACAAGTATGCCCGCAGATTTATCGGAAATAAATAATTTAAGATAATATGTATGATTTTTTTGCCACAATTAGATTACAGTTTTATAAATTTCATTCTTATAATCATCACTTAAGGTCGTGTATGCAAAATATCAACCCTGTGTGTCTTTTCTTGAGAATGTTACAGGCGTCTGGAGTGAAAACGCTGCCGTTATAGGCAGAAATGCATATGATGACTGAAAATGCCCTTGAACTTGTTAACATTCTGACAGAAAATCAAGCTCACCCTTTCATTAATTTTATTCGTATTGTGCCTTTATCGACAAATGAGCCGATAGTCCATTGAATGTTATTTGCCATAAGAAATATACATACAAACAACATTTAGATACATAAAGGGTATACTTCATCAATAAGAAACCGCTGCATAGTATTGAAATATTTGATATTTCAGTAGGAGGCGGGTGTGCAGGAAATGGAGGTCTTGGTGACTGTAGTACTGTCTGTCTACCTACCTCAACTGGCCGAGCATGTGCCTGTAATGATGGTATTGATTTGAAACCCGACGGCAAAACCTGCTCAGATAGTAAGTACTTTGTCCAAAGACGTAGAACCGTTCTTTGTCTCTGAAGAAGCAGTTTAATTTTATTCATATTTTTAGATTTTTTTCTAGATACATATATAAATCTTCAAAAAAATCTTGAATAAGATTATGATATCTTACTATTGTTGCATGTCATATTTTGACAGCTGGTATAGTTTTGAATGTTTCTTTTTAATAACGAGTGTATGAACAATGATGGCATAACTGATAAAACTAAATGAGCTCATAATTCCATTGATAGAAATCACTATCCATGCTTGATTCTACAGTGTACTTAGTATTTATTATTCAAGGACTTTTCCTTTGGCCACTTCATTTTCAAGACACTTCAAAAGTCGCCCTTTTCATATACATGTACTAACATGAATATGAACACATTTGATTAAGTAATTCGTCAATTACATCAATTTCAATGTTCATTCGATAGACTTGAATTCTCAAGAAAGTGTATTTCAGTTCACCAAACTTCATGAAAGACTGAAACCTATTCATGTGTGAGACGTACTTGATGTTTAACAGGAAGGGAAGATCAACCCTATGTACATAGCACTGGCCTCTTGACATAAAGGCCCATGTGGTTGCAATAAGTTTCATGGTTACGTTGCGAACTCGAATTTGCTTTACAGAATTTGAGAAAACTTTCTTTTCAAAAGTAGCTAATGGTAATATGAGCACGTTTAATCTTGGCTTTTGTCTCGTTTTAGTTTACCAGTGCACCGATATGATTAAGCAAGTAGTAAATACCACAGCTGGCGTTATTGAGATAAAACTTCCGGCAACATGTTCGAGGCTGAACGAGACTACATGCGAATATACCTGTCCTAAATACTATATGCCTACTATAAAAGACAGTTCGACATTGACGTGTACAGAAAATGGATGGGACCGGGAAAATAGCACTCTTTGTGAAGGTTTGATAAAAATCATGAATAATAGAAATCTTTAACAAAAGTTCGTTTTTTACGGTGATGTATCTGAGTCATATCTTGTTTGTGACGTCATTTGTAAGGCATCAAAAGGAATATACGAAGAGAAAACTAATGATTGTATTTCATTATCAACTGTAATGGAATATTGAAAAAAAATGCCTACATCAAATAATTGTCAGATTTTATATTTTTACTATAACTCCAGTTTAAACATATTTAATTGCAGTACATACATGACAATAGTATATAAATGATAAGTATGTAACAAAAAGCAAATCTCTAACTCAAGATGGCACGAATCTTTAAAATTTTCTTTAAAGTGCTTATGACCAACTTTGTTTTTATGATAACCCAAAACCGTCAAACATTTCAAAATCGTATGACACCTCTTTTGACTGTGTTTTTTTTCCTTCATAGAAATCCGATGTTCTCCAACTATAGAGAATGGTGAACTAGACACTGATTGTGAGGCCGAAGTCGGTAACACTTGCGATTTTAAATGTAACAATGGTTTCCAGAAGACCGAAGAAAAGACATTCTGCACCAGAAGTGGATCCTGGCATAAGAATACTACTGAATTTTGCGAAAGTAAGATGCACCTCTTTAAGGTTGGGGAGTAGTACTGATAAATAAATGAAAGGGAAATGTTTATTCGTATTTAAATATTTACAAGTTTGGATACCAATTACTTAATTTACATTGTCATGAGAAAAAATGAATGTTCAAGACATTTTCATTCATCAACTAATTGGAAAAAGAAGATAAATCTTTAGATTAAAGAGGTGGAATTGGAATATAAGTCATGTTTTTGCTTCAAAAGATTACCAGTTTGCATGTTAATTATCTCCCTAGAAACACTTTACTTTTAAAAAATTGAAACAAGTATATTATCATATTTTTCAAGATTTGTTCACCATTTAATTATTAATTATGAATCAATAACTTGTGTACAAAGTTTTGAAAAATGATTCACTCACTCCGTTATTTTCTCATATGTGCAGAATGGTCTGTAATGAAACGCGCCTGAACGCTTTTAACTGGAATTTGGCTAAATAATCTCACAAAAAGATTGACTTTCAATTCAATTTTGAGTAATTTTGTCTTCGTTATCTTAAATTGACCCAGTTAAGAATAAGAATTTTAAATTTTATGTTATTTAGCCTTTTGAACTGCAATGGAGCGCCTAATATTTTGAAGAACAGCATTTCATTTCAATTGGTAAATGTTTGTACAAGACATCGAAATATTGTTTATTTTGATGTCTTTTTATATTTTTGCTTTATTAGAAAAGACTGTTCAAGAAGCACAGAAAGAAGAAGACACGTGGAAGAAGACTGACGTTCTTCTCGTGGTTATAATTTGTGCAGTTCTCGTGTTTGTTTTGTGTGTTGTTGTAGCTGTTCTTATTCACAAGTAATATAAAAATCTTTGTTTTATTATGCTACCCGAAGGGTGCGCATATAGTCGCCGCTTTTTCCGTCCGTACGTCTGTCCGCACTCACAGGACAGTAACTATGTGGCTAGAGGGACAATAGGTTCTTTGATGTCATTCATTCCGTAATGCTTTTATGTGGCTATTTTCTTTTGTGTGGCTGAAAAGAACAATAGAGAGAACAATAGAGTAGCCACGTAATTACTGTCCTATGAGAACATCCGTCTGTCCGTCCGCTATTCTTGTCCGAGGACATAACTTTGAAACCACAAAAGGTATCAACATGAAACTTTGTAGGTAGATAGATCTCATTGAGTAGATGTGCAGTGCTCAAGAACCGTAACTCTGCCTTGCTTAATTTTCGAATTATTGCCCTTTGTTTATTTTTACACTTTGAACTTTGTCGGGACATAACTTTAAACTTAAAAGAGGTATTAACATGAAACTTTGTAGGTAGATAGATCTCATGGAGTGGTATGCAGTGCACAAGAACCGTAATTCTGCCTTGCCTAATTTATGAATTATTTTCCTTTGTTTATTTTACACTTTGAACTTTGTCCGGGACATATCTCTAAAACTATAAGAGGTATCAACATCATACTTTGTAGGTAGAAAGATCTCATTGAGTAGGTGTGCAGTGCACAAGAACCGTAACTCAGCCGTGCCTAATTTTTGAATTATTGCCCTTTGTTTATTTTTACACTTTGAACTTTGTCTGGGACATAACTCTAAAACTATAAGAGATATCAACATAAAACTATGTTTGGAGTAATTGCCCTTTGTTTATTTTGACACATTGAACTTTCTCCGGGACATTTTTCTAAAACTATAAAAGATATCAACATAAAACTTTGTAGATAGATATATCTCATTGTGTAGAAGTGCAGTGCATAAGAACCGTAACTCTGCCTGGCCTAATTTTGGAGTTATTGCCCTTTGTTCATGTTTACACTTGAACATTGTCCGAGACATTACTCTAAAACTATAAGAGATATCAACATGAAACTGTGTAAGTAGATAGGTCTTATTTGGAAGAAGTGCAGTGCTAAAGAACCATAACTCTGCCTGGCCTTATTTTGAAGTTATTGCCCTTTGTTTGTTTTTACTTTTTGACTTTGTCCGGGACATTACTCAAAAACTATAAGAGATATCAACATGAAACTTTGTTGGTAGATAGATCTCATTGAATAGAACTACAATGCTTAAGAACCTAAACACATTCTTGTTTAATTTTGGAGTTATTGCCGTATGTTCATTTTTACACTTTGAATTTTACCTGGGACATAACTCTGAAACTATAAGAGATATCATCACGAAACTGTATATGTAGATAGGTCTCATTGAATAGAAGTGCAGTGCAAAAAACCATAACTCTGCCTTGCCTAATGTTGGAGTTATTGCCCTTTGTTCATTTTTTATACTTTCCTGTGTCCAAAACCTTCTCGGGGAGCATCAACCGGTTCAACCGGTTCTTGTTTACACTAGTTAGCTCCCTTGACATAAGTGGCAGCCATTTTGAGTGACATTATTCAATACATTGAAGAAATACGCTGAATAAACAAATGCTTTACATGAATGGTGCACATTTTTTACGTAAATTATGAAAATATTAAAACATTAGCTGCATTTCATAAATTTCATTAAAACAGAAATAGGTTTCATTTGGACTCACGTTCTTACTTTGGTGTCCATACGACCAAAACTAATTTGATTTTATGTCTATAAAACCTCATTGTGACGAAATCGAAAGTACAATTTCTGTTTAAAAAGAGAAAAGATAATAAGGCGTAAAGATTATCTTAAAACAGTATAGAGACAGAGAAAGTCATTATATTAAGGTCTAGTTTATTTATCTGACAATACGATAGAGAATGCTTTTAAAGATTTATTCTATATGTTTATCTTAGATTAATTCAAGGAAGAAGGAGATCTGCAGAAAGCGGTGGATCTGTAGCGTACCAAAAAGAGCCCAAATATCTTCGTGATGATTTAGATGATGACCGCAGACGAGATTCTGAAATAAGTTCTGGCTACATTCAACCTAAGTATATATGGCTTAATAAAGTATTTGTTTACCCACGGGCCATAATTAAGAGTATAATTATGTAGGTTACCCGTTAACCATTCGTAGGACACCTTTTCCTACTTAGCCTAATGAGGGTATATAGAATATAATTAAATGTCATTATCCCAATGGAAGAATAAGGCAATAAATCTACATATAACACCATATCTACCAGTAATACGTTATAACTAGTGTAAAGTTGTGTTTTACACTATTTGTTACATGATTATAGCTATATCATAGGTATTGACACTCGTCATACTGTAGCGTATAAAGTAACTTAAACTGTTTCAGTCCACTTGATCTTTTTTACCATGATGTGTGTCTATATATTAATTGTAGGTTTGGGTATACCAGTAATGTACTTTATACTTTAGCAATTACTTGAACGTGACATTGCGAATTTAATACAAAGTAAATAATTGTAATACACCGAAGGACAAGTTCTTTATCATTTGTGTGTTTTAAGTGTATATTCTCATTTCGTATGCAAACAGTAATAACGAAGAATGCTGGATATATTACCGTGGTATTCTTGCTAGGTGTACATAATTTATCATTTTCCTATTTTCAGATTAAACAATATCACAGAAGAGACGGTCTCTACAAGTATGGTCAACCCGTTGTATAATAACGAACCGTTGCCGGCAGTCTCGCAACACGTAATCCCTAAAGACAAAACTGTCTCGTACACTGATTGGCTGAAACAGCAATAACCATAAAATCTAAAAATAATACGTCGACGCTTATTGGCTGATAATAATTAACATACATATGACCGAATCGCTAAAGCTGATTGGCTAAGTACTTATCTGCGGATATGACGATGTATGTTTGTTTTGACTGGAATTGAAACTTTTTTTACTATTAACAGTGTAAAGGAGAGAATGGCGTGTGATTCTTCTCTTAAAAGGAAATAATAAACAGAACAGAACAAATTTTTTCATAACTACAGATATTTAAATGAAACTTTATAGGATAATAAAGACCAGTGTACATTCTGAAATATGTTAAGCGTCTAACTTCTAAAGTGCCATGCATGTTCCGTAAATGTATAAATTATACAGGCTTGTTATTAGCTGTAGGCAAGATTCAAATTGCTATTGTATTTTAAATACAAGGGTGTAAGTTATATACCTGGATTTACACTTTGAATTTAAAAATACAACTAAAACACTATATCATAACAGAGAGTATCTTTGCTGTCTTGCTCGAATTAAACTTTTTGGGTTTTATCAAAAAAACCAAAAAAACCCTTAGTTTGTATGGGGGGAATTTAAAGCAGAAAAAACGGGTTGACAAAAGAAAAAAAAGGGCTTTTAAAATTTTTTATGGGGGAAAATTCAATGATCTGCTTTTTTAGCTCGGGCTGGGAAAAAACCAAATCTAGCAGAGCATTCCCAAAAAAAATAAAAAGAAATTTTTTGGGGTTTATCCCTCAGCGGGGTTTAAAGGGAAAATTTGGGGCGGGGCCTTTAACAAAAATATAGTGAAAAAAATGCTCTGCTGGTAGCTAAAGGCGGCTGGGGCCAAATCTAGGCGGGGGCATTTCCAAAAATATTTTTTGAAAAAAAATACCCTGTTTTATATTTCGGGCGGGCCAAAGAAATTTCTAGCGGGGCCCTTTCCCAAAAAAATATAATTTGGAAAAAAAAAGCTCGGGGCTGTTTTTTGGTTTTCAGCTGGGCTAAGAAATTTTCTAGGGGGGGCCTTCCCAAAAAAATTAATATTTTAAAAAAATTGCTCGGGCTGGAGGGCTAAAACGGGGCAAAAGGGGAAAAATTCAAGCGGGGGCTTTCCCTTTTAAAATATAGTTTTTAAAAAATTTTTATTTTGCTTTTTATCCCTTCAGGGGCAAAAGAAAATTAAAACCCGGGGGAATTCCCCAAATATAGTGAAAAAAATTTTCTGCTTTATTTTCTAAAGCGGGCTAAGCAATCGTGGGGTTTTTTCCCAAAAAATTAAAAGGAAAAAAATCCCTCTGCTTTATGCTCGGGCGGGAAAAGAAATTCTAGGGGGGGCTTTCCCCCAAATTTAGTTGAAAAAAAATTGCTTTTTGGCGGGGTTTTGTTTAAAGCTGGTTTGGGGCTTTCTACCCCGGGGCATTCCAAAAATTTTTAGTTTTAAAAATACTTTTGGTGTTAACCCCAGCGGGCCCTGGGGAAATTTTAGGGGGGGCCCATTCCAAAATATAGGGGTAAAAAAAGCTCTGCTTTTTATCCCTTCCAGCTGGCAAAGGGAAAATTTTAGGGGGGGTTTTCCAAAAAAAATTTTTGGGTTGTAAAAAACCCTCGCTTTTTATGCTAAAAGGCCCTGGCAAACCCCAATCTAGGGGGGCCCTTCCCAAAAAATTTAGTGAAAAAAAGTTTTCTTGCGGGTTTATGCCAGTTTTGGTTTTAAGGGAATCAAAAGCGGGGGGCTTTTCCCAAAAATATAGGGTTTAAAAATGCTTTTTTGCTGTATGAAACGGGCTGGCTGGGAAATTTCCTACCCGGGGGGCCTTTCCAAAATAATTAGTGAAAAAAATTTTAGCTTTTTTTGGTAAGGCTGGCAAAGGGAAATTTCTAGGGGCCCTTCCCAAAAATGTAGGGGAAAAAAATGCTCCTAAAAATTGCTCAGGTTTGGCTAGGAAATTTTGGGAAAAGGGAAAACCCTTTTAAAATAGTTTTTAAAAGGAAAATGCTCGGGCTGGCTAGGTTTTTCCAAAAGCGGGGAGCTTTTTCCAAAAATATAGTGAAAAAAAATCCCTTTGCGGGGGAAAAGTCGGGGCTGGCAAAGGGGAAATTTTCTGGGCAAAAAAGCTTTCCAAAAAAATTTTATTTTTCAAAAAAAAATTTGGCTCTGGGGGTTGTCACCCGGGCCCTTAAAACCCAAATTTTTTAGCAGGGCCCTTTTCCAAAAAAAAATTTTTAGTTTTAAAAAAATGCTCACGGGGGTAGGAAATTTTAGAAAAAAAGCATTCGGGAAAAAAATTAGAAAAAAAAATTTTTTTTCCCGGGGAATTTGTTGAGGGGTCGGGAAAAAACCTGGGCGGGGGCATTTTTAAAAAAAAAAAAGTAAAAAATTTTCGTTGGCTGAAAAATTTTGATTTTTGGATTTCGTGGGACTTTTTTAAAAAAATTTTAATTCCCAAATTTGCAGAAAAAATGCCCTTTTTTTTAATTTTTCTAGGGGGGGGCCCCTTTTTTAAGTTTTCTATTTCTTTGGTCCCCGATGTTTTTCGGGGACGATCGCGGGATTTTTCGGGAAAATTTTTGGTTTTGTTAATGCAGATAAGGGGACATTTTTTTTAAATTTTTTGGGGCCCAAACCCCAGGGGTTCCATTTCTTTGGTTTGCAAAATGTTTCGGGAAAACCCCTTCGCAAAAATTTTTTCCAGAATTTTCCCGGGTCCCCAACTGGGATAATGACTTTTTTATTTAAAAAAAGGGGACCCCCCCTTTTGATTTCTTTTTCCCGTTGGGTCGCACTGATTTTTGGGGCCCCACCCCGCAGGTTTTCCCGGGAAATTTTTTGGTTAAATTTGAAAAGAAAATGATTTTTTCGGGGAACTTTTTTGGGGAAACCCTTCTTAAAACCATTTTTTTGGGTTCTGCGACGGGATTTTGAGGCACCCCCCGGAAACTTTCGGGAAATTTTTGATGTCAAGGAAAAGTTTAAATGGACATTTTTTTACTTTTTAGGGACCACCCCAGGGTCCTTTTTTTTTGGTCTGGGGAACTTAATTTTGACAGTAAAACGGGGTTTTCCCGGGAAAATTTTTTTTGGGGGCCAAAAAAGAAAATTTTCCCCAATTTATGACTTTTTTGACCATCCAGGGGGGCCCTATTTCTTTTTGGTTTTTGGGGAACTCATTTTGGGGGGCACTTGGGGGATTTCCCCGGGAATTTTTTGGGGGTTGCTAATCCCAAGGTTTTAATAAACATTTTGGGGTTTTAAAAATTAGCTTTGCTTTTGACTAAGGGGTCCTTAAAAGTAAAAAATTTCTTTGGATCGGGCAATGCACTAAAAACCCCCTAAAATCGGGCCGGTGGGCCAAGGAATCAGTGGGCCAGCCCCCAAAAAAATTTTACTTTTGGCTTTTCCCTAAAAGCCCAAAAAATTTTTTCATTTTTCCCCCCAATTGGCACCCCAAAATTTCCTAAAAATTTCTGAAAATTTTCCCCAAAATTTTCGGGCCCGAAAAACCCCGGGCAAAAAATTAAACTCTGGGGGGGGTCGTTTAAGAATTTTCCAAAAAAAATTTTTCATTTTTCCCCCTTTTTGGCACGAGTTTCCTAAAAGGGTCTCCCGAAGGGCCCCCTAAAACAGTGGGAAAGACCTTTTAAAATTTTGGGGACTTTTTTGGGGGTTTCCCTGGAAGAAAAAAATTTGCCACCACCCTTCCTTTTTGGGCCCCCCAAAATTTTTTCCGGGGAAAAAGGTTTTGGGGAAGGGGCCCAAAAAAACCCGCTGCGGGGGCCAAAAATAAAAATTTTGGGCCCTTTAAAAAAGGGCCCCCTTTAGAAGTAAAAAAAATATGATTTTTTCCTTTGGGCCCCCCAAAACCCTTTCCCTTTTGAAAGTTTTGTGAGTTTTCCAAAAAAATTTCAGTGGGCAAACAAAAACCAAAAATTGGGACCCCTTTGAGGGCCCTTTGGGGGGAAGTTTTTAAATTTTTCCCCAAAATTAATCACTTTTTGCCCCCAAAAAATTTCCTTTAAAAAGGTTTTTTGGGGAGGGGGCCCTTTAAAAAAAAGGTGGGGGAAAATTTAAAATTTAGTCTTTTTAAAAAAGGCCCTTGGGAAATTTCAAAAAAAAATCATTTTTTTTCTTTTGGGCCCCGAAAAAAAACCTAAAAAGGTCTGCGAAGGGGCCTCAGGTTTGCCTGGGAAATTTCAAAAAAGGGTTCAAAAAAAACCTTTGGGCCAAAAAAAAAAAATTCCCGGGAAACCCGGGGGAATTAGTTTTTAAAAAATTGGGGGCTTTTTCCCAAAAAGCTTTTTTAAAAAACTTTTTATTTGGGGGAATCCCTTTGCTAAAATTCCCTAGCCATTTTAAAGATTTCACCAGGGGGCCTTTTTTTTCCCCAACTATTTTTTAAAATTTGCCCTGCTGGGATTCCCTTTACCAGTGACCCTTTTCCACCAGGGGGCCATTTTTTCATTTATTTTAAAGGGAAATTGCTTGCTATAGGGGGCCAAACCCAAAAGTTGGGAAATTTTTCCTTTCAGGGGCTTTTTAAAAACCTTTTTATTTGAAAGGGCCCTTTGCAAATTTGGGCCTTTAAGCCAGTTTTAAAGCTTTTCCGGGCAAAAGGCATTTTTCCCCACTAAAATTTAAAGGCAATGCCCTGCTTTTTTTTCCCTTTGGGCCAGCTTAGTTTTTTCAAGGAAAAGGGGCTTTTTTTACACTATATTTTTTTAATGCTCTGCTGGGTTTGGCCAAACCCAAAGCTGGGGGGGCTTTTCCAGCAAAAAGCTTTTTTTTACACTAAAAAATTTCTTTTAAATGTTTCTGCTGGGTTTCCCTGGCAGTTGGGCTTTCCAGCAAAAGGCTTTTTTTACATTTATTTTTAGAAATTTCCCCGGTTAGATTGCCAAAAGGCCGCTTAGCATTCAACCCAGAGCTTTTTTACACAAATATTATTTAATCCCCTGCTAAAATTGGGGCCTACCCGGGCCTTAAAAGGGCATTCCAGGAAAAAAAAGATTTGTTCCAAATTAATTTAAAGGTAATGTTTCTCCCTAGATTGCCTACCCCAGTTTTAAAGAAATTTCCAGCAGGGGGCCAATTTTTCCCACTGTTTTTTAAAGAAATTCTGGCCTAGTTTGGCCTACCCAAAGCGGGAGCTTTTCCCAAAAAGGGGGCATTT